AAAAAAAAAAAAAAAAAAAAAAAACCTTTCTCTTATGTATTTGTTTGAAAGGGTGATATGCATATGGATTTCCTACCGTGAAGATGATTTGGACATGTCTGGTCTTGGAAATTGAGTCTTTATTTAGTTTGATTTTGAGTTTATTTTTCTGTGATGGTGACTTGATAATTTTTGATGAGTTTAAACGATATTTTAGTGGGTTTTCTTAGTATTTATTGGAGTATTCTGCTATGTATTCTATGCTAAATATTCTTTTATTTCTTTGAAAAGAGGAGGAGTTAGTTTATTCATCATATAAGTTAGATTTAGGACTCTGGTTATATGGAAAATAATTAGTGAAATAACGTTTTGTCAAGATTAGCAGGTTGCACATTGAGAATTAAGTTGGATATGAGTTTTAATTAGTCTAAATATGAGGTTGCCAGAATGAATTCTGTTGCCTAAAGTGGCAGTAATGCTTGATCATCAATTGTCATTTGAAATGTATGATAATACATGTTGATTTCTTATCTTGTGACAAGAGTTAATGTGGTTGAAATTGAAAATGTCTTGAAAAAGGGAAGTTGGGGGGAGGGGGGGTCAATTTGATTTTCTTTTTCTCTGTAATTTTGTGCCTGTTGATGATTGGTTGAATTTGGCCTTTTGTTTCATACATGGTGTAATGTATTGATAGATTCTGAACTTTCATTGCTAATTATCTGTGTGTTTTAGTGCAGATTCTTTGAAATTTAAGTACATTTACCATAAATTAGTTCTTCTAGCTCTCGTCTATTTACTCTACTTAATCTTTATTTGATTTTTATGTTGTTATGATCAAGCCCTAGACATATTAATTATTTCTTTAAGGTTGTTTTTATTTTGATTTGATTACTACTAATGAGTTTCACTGATTTGGTTTATTTACGTGATTCACCTTGCTTATGGAGATGAACCATACGGAGCCAAATGAAGCTTTTGGTTCAAAGCATTAATATTCTTGATATCATTTCATTTTTCCATTTTATTCTTTTATCTTGAGTTGTATAATTTAATTTGTGGATTGGAGTTTGTTTTGTATTTAATTTTACTTGCTTACCATTTCTTGTCATTCATGACACACACATGGCACTCAGTCTGCATGGTACCGTCACTATATGGCATCTGTTTTGATAAACCAAATTTAAGAGATGATATAAATAACCACTCAAGGGATAATATATATGCATGCTGAGTAATGCCAGCACAGGGCAAAAGTAAGATTTAATAATCTAAGTTTAAGAGATGATATAACCACTCAAGGGATAACAACTCTTTAGAATAACCTACTTGTTTCTACAATTAGATTGAGAACTTTATCGTTAGAAAGATGTTTGTGGTTTGTGGAAGTGTGGATGATATTCTATGCTATTACATATTATGGAAGTTTAGACTTTATGGAGTTTGGTTGTAGAAATGAAATGAACCAATGGGTTTGGCAGCATGTTAGTCTCAGTTTATGGAGTCTTTCCTTGCCAGCGATCTTGGGACTGTATACTTGTGATTGTTGCCGCAATGTTGAGGTTTTGGTTGTCAAGACTGGCGGGGATTACATTATTTTCCTTGGCATATCTGCTTTTAACAACATGACAGATATATATTCTTCTAATCTCATTTGAAACTTAAGGTTTACTTGGTATCACCCTGAATGTTGGATTTTTCTTCATTTCATTTTTGTTTTTTGATTTTTTTTTTCTTTCATTTGAAACAGCTTGTTTTCTTCTGTTTTTATTTTATTTTTTAAAAAAAGAAAACCACTGGTTAATAATTTTTGTTTTGGTTGTTGGAAAAAATATCTTCTTAGTACTATTATCAGTTTTGTCTCTATATTTACATGTATTTTCTATATTTGATTTTTTTTTAATGTGATTTGATGTTTTATTTTATATTTGTTTCGTTTGTTTATATATTTATAGATTTCAGAATATCTTAATGGACTTTTTCTTTGTACTTATTAGATTACAGTTTTATAATGAAAATAATTTAATTAAATAGAAAATTATTTTTAGACTTGTTATACTACTTTTCTTTGATATTTTACTGATGGACCTTTTTCAACTTGTACTTATTATAATTGTAGTTGTGTAAAGTACAATAACCTATTAATTGTTATAAGTCCTTTTCTACCCTTTTTTTTTTTAATGAAAAGTAATTCATTTAAGTTTTCATAACATTATTATATTCTTTTTCCCGATGATAAAAAAAAAAATTATATTCTCTTTCCCTTCAAAGTTTTAATAGAAAAAATGTAAAGAAACAGCAACATAACCAAGCAAAATTTGTAATCGAATCATTTTCTTTTAACAATTTGGACATTAAATTGCCAACCTCATTTTTAATTTTTCAAGTTTTTTATTATTAATATTATTTTAATTTTGAAATTTTTTCTTCAATTTTTTTTATGTCATTTCATGGTGATACCAAATATTCTCTAAGTTTCCAACTCTTTACTCATTAGGGGTTGGAGATGAAAGTTTAAAATGAAATGATGAAAAATATATCTTTTATGGAGTTTGGGCAAGGAATGCAAAGAGGAATATTGTAAGCAATGCTAGTCATCTTGATGACACCTTCTTGTGGCAATTTGATCAAGTGGAACTCTCATGGTTGCTGTTAGGAGATACCTCCCGAATGAGATTGATGCGTTTGTCAAACCCATTATCTTGTTCATTGTCTCTTTTTCAACCGAATTTCATAAAGTCTTAAACTTACTAATGTGTCATACAAAGAATATCAAACATACTATCATAGAATACAAACACTCTTTTACCGGTAAAGTTTTTAATCTAGTGTAAACTAGTAGATTCTTCTACAGAATTGAGTCCTTGGTAGAGAGGCTCTATATCATGATCTCATTGACTTAGATTATAAATATGGGTTCGGGCTATATCATGATCTCATTGACTTAGATTATAAATATGGGTTCGGGCTATATCATGATCTCATTGACTTAGATTATAAATATGGGTTTGGGCTATATCATTATCTCATTGACTTAGATTATAAATGTAGGTTTACTTAACTAACTTTTTTTTTCTTAAATTCATGTGTTTTTGTTTTTTAGAAATTTTAAATTGAAGTTTTTAAGTTGAACTTTAATCTGTAATTTGTGTGATCATCATGTGGGTGTTTCACTCACACTACTAAGATTCAATTCCCTTGTATCCTCTTTTCCCTCTCCCCCAAAGCCCCAATTTCTTGCAGTTTAAAAAAAAAAAATTGAAGTCCTCAAGTTTGTATATAAAGACGAGAGGAGGGGTTTGATTATGAGAGGATTATTATTCTTAAGTGTATACCAATGTTGAAATGTCAAAAAATATATATATATAAGAAAGGCTATTCCGAGATATAACCATTTGTTTTCCATATTCCTCTTCCCCCCTTTTTTTTTTTAATTCATCTCATAGAGTGTATTGGATATGATTGAAGAAATCATTCATTTTAAATATCTTACTCTTAAAAAATGAAATAAATTCTTTGCAGACATCACATGTTTATCAAGACAATTATCATTTATTAATACACTGCATACCATAACTTACTTAAAATATCATTTTTAAACAATATGTAAGGGGATGTTGGTTTGTAATATAAAGTTAGATCGAATTGTAAAATATAAATAATCAAATGAAGGATAATTTTCAATAGAAAGAGATTTATCTCCATCAAATAATTTAAATTATAGAGTTTAATGTAAGATAGATAGCACAATAGATTTTTTTATAGATTTTTCCATCATGTATCTTTAATCACAAATTAAAAGTGTAATTAATATACTTATATAATTAATCTTTATTAAAATTATAAATATTAATTTTAATTTAATAAAATAACTAATTAAAATTATCTACGTATTAATAATATTAAAATAAATATAAATTTTTATAATTTTTTATATAAATTAATTATAAAAATTTTATTTATTATACTCTTACTCAACATGTTTAAAATGCGAATTAGGCAAATTATTTTTCATTTATTTATGGTCAAACATTTAAAAGTCTGGATGTAATGAAAATACAGCCTGGTCCAAGTCCAAGAAAAGCAACCCAATAAATGCCTTTCGCACTATCAATTTTATACCGAAAAGACAAAACGGTGCGTTTTGACCAGTGAACAGAGCGCTAAGCAAGTCGTTATTACCTGGCCGGCTGACGGGGGGGCGTGCTAAAAGTAGAGAGGGAATGAAAAAGGAAACCGGGACAACCGGCGGCGGACAAAAACGGCGGGGCAAAATTCACGCTGGATAATGTTGTCCTCTCTGTGAAGTTTCCTTCCTCTAATTCAACCATACAAGTGTTCGTTGAAAGCTCCTATTGCGCTATTCCTTCGTATCCGTTCAACAAATTTCTCTTAACAAAGTTTTTCCTTTGATTTCATCGGAAAAGATTTTCCCTTTTTCAAGTAAAAACCCAGTTGTTTTCTGGTTTTCCTTCTTTCATTCCACGCTCCCCTCTTTGCTTTTTTTTTTTTGGGGGTTTTTGGATCTTTGGCGAGAAGAGAAGAAGAAGATGGTATTGGAGAAGCGGCGGGTGGTGCTGGGTTTGGTGTGAAAAATGAGAGGTTTCCGTGGCATGGAATTTGGCGTTATGAATTTTCCAGGTTCATTGCCTCAAAACGCCGTCGCCGTCGAATGCCGATTCCGTTCGCGATCGGCATTCGATTCGTTCTCCATTGCCTCCGAAACGTTCTCGGAACAACGTCTTCGTTTCCTTCTCATCAGGGTCATCCCGGCGATTGCTTTGATCGGTTGCTGATTCCTTCCCTCTCCACACTCGAT